GAACATCCATGTGAGAGAGACACATCAACCAGTTGCCTCCCACACATGCTCCAACTGAGGCTGGGGATTGAACCAGCAACTCAAGTACTAGTTCCCCCCCGCCCCCCCGATTGGGAATCAAACCCACAACCCTCCAGTGCACAGGCCGAGGATCTAAACACTAAGCAATGCTGTTCAGGGCTGTGTCTGCCTGTTCTTGAAATTCTATTTATTGTTTAAATTTAGCTCCTAGAAGTTCTTCTTCTTACTGTCTTTTGTTTGGCTCTCTTTTGAACTTAATGCAGTTGGTTTATACAAATCATACATGCTTTGTGTGATAGATGTTTATGTTTACTAAATTATAAATTCTTTGAAGTAAGGGCTGAGTCCTATTCATCTTTATGCTCTTCATAGTACTTCCCTATTTTTTGAACATAGAGAAGATTCTCAATTTATGTTTGTTGTTTTTAGTCCACCCAGAGAATTATGAAAAGTGGCATGCAGTCAGTGAGATTGCTAGCTGCTCCTTTTCCCGGGATTTAATTAAATTCACTGAGCTTCCTTTCTCTACCTGGGACCATACACTACACTATCATAGTCTCACAATTTACCAGTGAATCATCAGGCAAGGCCTTGTTTCTGAATTGTGGTGGGCAATTCTTCTCCATATGTTATATTTTTTGCTCTACTTTCCCTGCTCATTTCTGAATTACCTTCAGAAATGCATTCATTGGTTGGATACCATGATATTCTTTTTATACATGGTGAAGTGGAGATTTGGAATGGTTATATAATTTACAGAAGATCACATAGCTGCAAAGCTACATGAGAGGGGCATGTGCCCTTTCTTCAGTCCATGCTCCATGTCTTTCTTGACCTCTTTATTGTTCTGTTGGACTTTGGGACCTGTGGGCATTAGAGACCTAAAGAAGCAAAGGAACTCGTTGCTAAAAGAAAAGGCACATACCTTGTAGGTTTACATTATGGAGGGATAGGTAAAAAATTAAGGCAAACTGTGACCTAGGTCAGGGTGATAAACTATGGACCAAAGGCCAAATCCCATGGGACAGATATGGCTACTTGTTTAAATATGGTTGGTGAGTTAACAATGGTTTTTACATTTTTCAATGGTTGAAAAATAGCAAAGGAAAACTAATGTATTGTTCCATGTGAAAATAATGAAATTCAATTTTCAGGGTCCATAAAGTTTTATTAGCTCACAGCCACAATTATCCATTTACATATTGTCTGTGATTGCTTTGGGGCTAAGTGCAGAGTTGATTAGTTATAGAGACTATATGACCTTCTGCCCTGTAGACAAAAGTTGTGCCAACTTGTGCCTTAGAAGGCGACAGTCCCACTTAAGCTGTGGCTTATGCAGATCTTCTGCTCCCTTGGAAATAGCTGGACTCTGGATAGTCGCTGTGGGCTCTGGGCATTTGCGAGGCCTGTTATTTATTTTTTAAAGATTAAGGTGCACAGCCTGATTATTTGATTTACATATAGTGTGGAAATGATTACCACATTAGGTTCAGTTCACATCTATGTTCTCATATAGATACAATAAAAGGAAAAGGAAACCATTTTCTTCGTCGATGAGAGCTCTTAGGATTAGTTCTCTAAACATCTTTTCTATATAGCGCACAGCAGTGTTAACTGTAGTTAGTCCTAGTACTTATTTATCTTATGACTGGACATTTATACCTTTTGGAGAGGACTGTTTTTCATTTTAGACCTTTGAATTCAAACATAGAACTTCTCTGTTATACCATTTTAAACATGGCACTTGATGCTAACTAGACAAGTACTTTGGTGTAAATAGTGTACTTATGATCAGAAACGAATGAAACACTCTGATGGCTATTTGGAAAGGAGATGCATATTTCTTCAGAGCATGTGTGTGTTTTTTAGAAATTTGGTCTAGAAACTTGGTTATAAATTTGTGGCTAGGTTCCTGGCAGGAAATGATTAACACATTTATCAACGAGTATTTTTATTATTCAACTGTTGCTATAAATTAGGCTAAACTGAGAAATTGGTTGCTTTAAAAGTGAAATATATTTTTCTGTTTTACTAGCTTTTTGTGTACTCTATGTGCTTACCTCACTAAACTAAACTGAAATGATCGAACCAATAATCAGAGCTATTGAGATTTTAGTTAACCAAGAAATAGATATCCAGAGTAGTAGAATGGTAAACAGTGTTATGATTTGTTGTCCTTATACTACTTACTAGCCAAGACCCATCTCTTGCCATTTGTGTTTTGTAATCATGCTACTGAAGATGGTCTAGGAATATAGAACTGATTATTACTCTACTAGAGGCCCGGTGCACGAATTCATGCACCAGTGGGGTCTCTCGGCCTGGCCTGCAGGATCGGGGAGAAACCGGCTCTCCAACATCCCCCAAGGGGTCCAGGATTGTGAGAGGGTGCAGGCCAGGCCAAGGGACCCCACCGGTGCACGATCGGGGCTGGGGAGGGATGCAGGAGGTTGGCCAGCCTGGGAGGGACTGCAGGAGGGCTCCAGGGTGTGTCCGGCCCATCTCGCCCAGTCCCTATTGGCTGAACCCCAGCAGCAAGCTAACATACCGGTTGGAGCATCTGCCCCCTGGTGGTCAGTGCACATCATAGCTACTGGTCAACTGGTCGACTATCTGCCCCCTGGTGATCAGTGCACATCAGAGCGAGCGGTTGAGTGACCTTAGCATATCATTAGCATATTGTGCTTTGATTGGTTGAATGGCTGATGGGTTGACCAGACACTTAGCGTATTAGGCTTTTATTATATAGGATTAACTGTGTCACTAGAATGCCCCTTCAAAAAATAGTGTTTATAATTTAAAAATACAGTAACTTCAAACAACTTTAAAAAATATGTTTTTATTTTTTTTAGAGAGAGGGGAAGGGAGAAATATAGAGATAGAAACATCTATGAGAGAGAAACATCTATGCACTGCCTCCTGCACTCCCCCCACTGGTGATCAAGCCTGCAACCCAAGCATGTGCCCTGACTGGGAATTGAACTTGGTTCATAGGTTGACACTCAACCTCTGAGCCATCCTGGTCAGGTTCAAATCACTTTTAATGTTTCCTACTCAGAGTAACTTTAAAACAAAATTCAAACAGCAGAGGTATGTTCAAACAACTAACATGGAAGACTAAATGGTGAGGAAAAGTGTTCGTAACAAACATTGTTGAGTTTCTAAAGTGGGCCAACGTTGAAATTAAATTTCATTTGTGAGATTAATTGTCATGTTGATTTTACTATGTCTTTTATTATTTTGGATGCATAAGACATCCCAGTGTTTATTACATTAATTGTTCATCTGTGCATTTTCTTTATGGTTATATTCTCAAACATTTAAAAGGAATTGTATTAATTTTCTAGTTACTACTATTATGTAATTATTATTATTATTTAATCCTCACCCAAGGATATGTTTAGAGAGGGGAAGGGAGGGAAAGGAATATTGATGTGAAAGAGAAACATCGATCAGTTGCCTTTCCTATGCACCCCAACCCAGGATCAAACCCACAACCTGGGTATGTGCCCTGACTGGATATCAAACCTGCAACCTTTTAGTGCATGGGGTGACGCTAAACCAACTGAGCCACCAAGCCAGAGCAACTTACTACTAATCCTATATAATAAAGAGGTAATATGCAAATTAACCCTCACGCCCTCATAAGATGGCTGCCTACGATCAGGCCGGCAGGGGGGTTAGTGAGGGACAACCAAACAACTAAACAAGCAAGCTGCATGGGTGACCAGGCTGGCAGGGGGGTTAGTGAGGGACAACCAAATAACTGAACAAGCAGGCTGCATGGGCGACCAGGCTGGCAGGGGGGGGCATTTGGGGGGTGACCAGGCTGGTGGGGGGGGCAGTTAGGAGTGATTAGGCTGGCAGGGGGCGGGGGTAGTTGGAGGCGACCTGGCCAGCAGCAGGAGGCAGTTAGAGGCAACCAGGCTGGCAGAGGGGGCAGTTAGGGGCAATCAGGCTGGCATGCAGAGGCAGTGAGGGGCGATCAGGCCGGCCGGGGCAGGGAGCAGTTAGGGGCAATCAGGCTGGCATGCAGAGGCAGTGAGGGGCGATCAGGCCGGCCGGGGCAGGGAGCAGTTAGGGGCAATCAGGCTGGCATGCAGAGGCAGTGAGGGGCGATCAGGCCGGCCGGGGCAGGGAGCAGTTAGGGGCAATCAGGCTGGCAGGCAGGTGAGCGATTAGGAGCCAGCAGTCCAGGATTGTAAGAGGGATGTCCGACTGCCGGTTTAGGCCTGATCCCTGGGATCCAGCCTAAACCGGCAGTCGGACATCCCCCAAGGGGTCCCAGATTGGAGACGGTGCAGGCTGGGCTGAGGGGACCCCCCCCCCCAGGTATGTGCCCTTGACTGGGAATTGAACCTGTCACCCTCTGGTGCTCAGGCTGATGCTCTAACCAATGAGCCATGCCGGCCAGGGCTCTAACCAATGAGCCATGCTGGCCAGGGCTCTGTTTTTTTAAACATGTAATCATATTTTTTTTCTGATTCTAGTAGTATACTAAACACCAGCCTTATTTTAGCATCTAAAAAAAATCAGCAAATACAGAATTTAAATAATTTCTTAACACAAAGAAACTGGCTAACAGTTTAGAGGCAGACTAAAATGCCCTCCCTAATGCCTTCCCTGGGGAAGTCTTAAAGAGCTGTTAAAATGAGGGCAAACTGGCCCTTTGATGGAATTTTCCAGTAATGCCCAAGCCAGCTGTGAGGCCCCTTGTCTTCAGAGGTCTTCTCTCTCCATCTCTAGCCTTGCTGGGTCATTTCTGGCCTTGAGCTGGCACCACAGCTCTGACCAGAGTGCCCTGCCAGTCCAGACTCTCTGAAATTCCTGTCAGCCATGTCTAGAGAAGGACAATTCTCCTTTTCTTCTTAGTTTAGTTTAAACAGGGTTGGAATTTTTTAAACAGTGACTTTACTAAGTAACCAAGGGCAAAACAAAAAACCTGAAACTGGAAAACCACCAAAGCAAAGAAATGAACAGACTTACAAAGTAGAGACTCAGAATTCTGCTCTACTCTGACTCTAGCTGAGACCTGCATACCTAGCATCCTAGGGGCTCATAGGTTCTGTGTCCTCGCTCAGCTTTTCATTCTCCACTCTTTCATCCCACTCTTTACTTCTATCACTTTATTTTACACACAGCTCTTTCTTCTCCAGGCTTGGAGTGCAGGAAGTCCATGGGTAGATAGGTGTTAATAAGTCATGAAATAGTAAAAAAATATATATATTTGGTCTCTGCCCCAGTTCCTGCTAATATTTGGTGTTTGACTTTGGTTCCTGACACAAGGCTCTTGGGTGATAGTAGCATCTTTTGTTCTAATGAAACAGCTCTTGGTGGGCTCTGGGATAGGGGCTGGTTACTAGAAAGACAAAGCCAAGATTAGAAGCTTAGAACTGTCAGTCCTACCCACCACCTTCTGAAGAGGGAAAGGGGTTAGAAAATAAGTAAATAATCATTCATGCCTACATGATGAAGCCTCTATACAAATCTCTGAAGTACGGGATTTGTAGAGCTTCTGGGTTGGTGATGCATTTATAATCTAGGAGGGTGGTGCACCCCAACTCCATGGGATCCTTCCTGACCTTACTCTATGTATCTCTTTATCTAGCTATTCACTTGTATCTTTTAAAATACTGTTTGTAGCCCTAGCCGATTTGGCTCAGCAGATAGAGCATTGGCCTGTGGACCAAAGGGTCCCGGGTTTGATTCCAGTCAAGGGCACGTACCTTGGTTGTAAACTCCTCTCCGGCCTGGGCCCTGGTCAGGGCTGGTGCAGGAGGCAACCAATCGATGTGTTTCTCTCACACTGATGTTTCTCTCTCTGTCTTTCCATCTCTCTTCCACTCTCCCTAAAAAAATCAATGAAAAAATATCCTTGGGTGAGGATTAACAACAACCAAAAAAAGTAAATAAATAAATAAATAAATAAAATACTCTAGAAATAGTGAGTAAACTTTTCCTAGGTTCTATGAGCCACTCTAGCCAGTTATTGAACCTGGGGGGGGGGGGTCTTGGGAACCTCTGATTTGTAGCCAAGTCATACAGGAGTTGTGGATAACAGGGACCTACTACTTGCGATTGGCATCTGAAGTGGGAGCAGTTTTTTTAAAAAAAATATATTTTATTGATTTTTTACAGAGAGGAAGGGAGAGGGATAGAGAGTTAGAAACATCGATGAGAGAGAGAAACATCGATCAGCTGCCTCCTGCACACCCCCTACTGGGGATGTGCCTGCAACCAAGGTACATGCCCTTGACCAAAATCGAACCTGGGACCCTTCAGTCCGCAGGCTGACACTGTATCCACAGAGCCAAACCGGTTACGGTGGGAGCAGTTTTATAGTATTAATACTTTAGTCTGTGGGGTATGCCGTAATTCTGGTTGAATTGAATTGAATTGAATTACAGGACACCCAGTTGGTGTGGGAAAATTGGTCAATGTGGGGAAAAATCCATATCTCTTATCAGAAGTGTTGTGTGTAAGTAATGCAGGAGAAACAGTTTTTCCTAGACATGTGGAAGCTAGACATTTTTATACTTTCATAGGACATATCAGCATAACCATAGCCAGTACCAGGGGTGGGGAAAGTCTGGCCCGTAGGCTGAATAAGGCCCATGAAATCATTTCGTCTGCCAAGCATTAGGGGTGAATTAATTAAATGTTTGACCAAATATAGCAGGCTAATTTTAAGTCGATAATTTCATATGGCCCACAAATGATGTTATAAATATCCAAATGACCCTTGGCAGAAAAAAGGTTCCCACCCCTGATTAGACAGTCTGCTTTTTTGATAGGTGAAAGTTTTTATGTATTTTTGTCTGTAAGTCTTTTGGTATTGCTTTAATTCTTGGTTTTGAGTAATTTACATTTGCTAACATGAATTGACATACTTGCATAAATCTACATTTATTTAATTAACTAAACTTCAAAAATTCTCCCAGAATCCATTTTCTTTCTAGAAGTAACTGTGTCTTAACTTCTTTTTTTTAAAAAAAAACAATAATAATCCCCCCCTTTTTATTCCTTAGAATAGTTTACAGTATAAACATGTTTTCATGTTATAAAAGCTTAACTCATAAGTTTACGGTAAGGATAAAGAAAAGTGTTCTTTAGAAGATAAATACTCATCCAATAATTATTATGAAACATGAAAACTTTCTATTTTTCCTTAGCTGTCAGAAAACTGAAAGTTGTCTTAATGTTCAGTTACAGAGATGTCGCTTCCAAAATTCTTAATACAGTTATTCATCTTGTAACCTTTATCATTTAACAATATATTGTGAATATTTTTAGGTATTACTATACATGACATTTAATGACTGCTTAGTATTCTTCCAAAGGATGTACCACAATTTACTTACACATTGTTCTAATATAATATAGCAATGGGCATCTTTGTTTAGAGATGCAGTTAATTCCACAGGATAAATTTTAGAAGTGGGTTTGTTCCCGGAAAGGTGGTACCACCATATTCATTTTTTCTATAGAAAGTAGAGAAGTAAAAGAAATATCAGTAGAATATTGCTACTTTGACAAGAACACTAAGGTACAGTTGTATACATTTAGTAGTTTCTGGGAAAGGTCAGTTTGTTGACAATTGAGCTGTCCTTGAAAAGTCATTTGGCAGTTCTGATTTCCGATCTGCTTTCTGATCAACTGGGCAAAGGGCATATTTTTTAAATTTTTTTCTTTATTGATTAAGGTATTGCATATGTGTCCTTATTCCCCCATAACCCCCCTCCTCCCGCTCGTGCTCTTACTCCCCTAGTGTCTGTGTCCATTGGTTAGGCTTATATGCATGCATATAAGTCCTTTGGTTGATCTCTCCCCCTTCCCCCCAACCTCCCCTTCCTTCCCTCTGAAGTTTGATGATCTGATCCATGCTTCTCTGTCTCTGCATCTATTTTTGTTCATCAGTTTATGTTGTTCATGATATTCCACAAATGAGTGAGATCATGTGATATTTATCTTTCTCTGACTGACTTATTTCGCTTACCATAATGCTCTCCAGTTCCATCCATGCTGTTGCAAATGGTAGGAGTTCCTTCCTTTTTACAGCAGTGTAGTATTTCATTGTGTAGATGTACCACAGTTTTTTAATTCACTCATCTGCTGATG